AGAGCCCCGAGAGAAAAAAAGAATGAGGTATCCCCGTTGTTTCCCAATTGCGCCGTCAAGCTGTACGTATATAAAAGCAGAAGATTGTTGTGGCCGAGGGCTTCCGTTTTATCGTGGCGGGTGAAATTGAGAGATGAGGGAATACCTCCTCCTTTTCCCCCGACGAAAAACCGCAATCCAATTGAATGTTTTTCAAAAACCCTCGTCACGGAACCGCTAGAAACCCATCAAAATGCCAGACATTTGTCAAGTCTCTTAAGCGGTGAAGTTGTCGCCGAGGGTGACGTCGAGGTGGCCGGTGTAGTAGCCCTTGCAGCCGACACCGTCCTCGGCCTCCATGCCGGACATGTAGGCGCCCTCGTTGGAGCCGTCGGACTTGACCCACGAGCAGGTCTTGTCGTTGGCGGCGACCTTCATGCCGTAGTAGCTCATGCTGGAAGCAGCAGCGACGAGGACGGAGGCATCAGCGCCAGAGTTGCCGCCGTTGGGGGTGGAGCCCCAGTCGAACTCGAGCCAGGTGCCGGCGAACTGGCCGATGAAGGTCTTGGGGACCTCGGAGCCGGGGCCGCACGCACAGGAGCCCTGGGAGTCGGCCTCGAAGGCGACGTGCTTGTCGGCGCCCTCCTTGACGGTGAAGGTGATGGCGGCGAACCAGGCGCCGTCGATCAGGCCCTTGGGGCCGATCTTGTTGAAGCAGGAGCAGGTGAAGGTGTCCTTGGAGGAGGTGAAGGTGGTGGTGTAGTTGTACAGGCTCAGGGCGTTCTCGTCGATGATCTGCATGTTGCAGCCCCAGTCGCCGTCGGCGCCGGTGTTGCCGGAGTAGGCGATCTGCTCGATGGTGGCGCGCTTGGTCTTGCCGGAGCAGAAGGGGGTGTAGACGCCGGTGCCGGAGGAGGAGCCGGAGGTGGCGGCAGGGGCGGCGGAGGAGGTGGTGGAGGACGCGGCGGGGGCGACGTTCTTGATGAAGGTTGCGTCGCGCTCCTGGACGGCGTCGACGGTGCGACGCTCGTGGAAGTGCTGGTGGCCGTGGAGGGAGGGGTGGGCGGAGGCGGCGGCCGCGAGGAGGACGAGGTTGTTGATGAGCTGCATCTTGGATGTTTTTACCGTTGCGTGTTTCGGGAGGATGTCGTCGTGAGAAGGAGAGTCGTCAACTCGTGAACGCTAGATAGTATGTATTGGGAAGGTAAAAATGGCTTGGCTTGGATTTTTTTGCTTTTGATACCCGTCCGAAAAGAGTGACAGCGATTTGACTCGCGGAGTTGTGGACGATGGTGGTTGAAGGAGAGGGAGCGTGAAGCAAGGAGGGAAACCGGGATGGGGGCAGAGTGAAAAAGGGAGGGAGGTGAGGCCCATTTTGAAGGGAAGGAAACAAATCTCATTAGATCGCAGCGCACTCTGAGTCTGGCTGTCTCTGGCGGCCCCCCGTCCATGTTCCTTCTTGGATGTGGGTGTTAACGAGCAACATGAGCGGACAGGGGTGGACAGGCGCATCGACAGGGGCGTCGTCACCAAGGAGGCGCGTCCAGCTCTATCGTGCGCCGTCCAACAGCCCATCACGGCTCGTCGATAACCCTGTCTAGTCAGGAACAGACTCCCAAAGAGGCAAGGCGGGCCCAGGAAGTCATGACCGAGAGGAGGGCCAGCCGACGTGGTGGGCGTCTTTTTTGGTTCCAGGGCTTGAGAAGGTGAGGGCCACATACACACGCACCGCGGAACCAAGACACACGGGGCCACAGGGGAGGGGTGTGTTGTGGAGATGTTCCAATGGGCGGTCCAGCTCTGCTGCCAGTTGTTCCAGCCGAGAAGACAGAGAGAGGAGGTGACAGTCACTGGTGGAGAGTGACAAAGTGCCCAGCTGGGACTCTGGGATGGATCATGGAGGAGGGAGGGTGCACCGCCGGACGCCCAGGGCCAGGCGCAGGATTGGACGGTGTGTTGACGGTGATGCGGGAAAAGGGGGTGGGGAAGGTAATTTCACCGCACGCCAAAGCTTGGTCACGGATCGAGTTCAAGCTGCTCCCCGGGCATTTCCCAGCTGGGCGCCTCTGGGAAACAGATTACTGCGACTCTGTAATACCGCCTATTCGTGCAGCGGCCTGCCAATTGGCATCTTGGAAACTGAAAAGTTGGACACACAACCAGAACCTGGATGTATGTACATATCCAGTTTTGGTGTGTGAGTGGGATGGATGGATGGATGGACTTCGGATGGAGAAGAGCAGCATGACGATCCGGGCGCCAACGAGGAACTCACACAAGCAAAAAAACCACGCGTTGGCCCTGCGTCAGTTGTGCAGTACTGGGACAAAAGGTACTTTGACGGCTGTTGAAGTTTGTGCGCAACCAAGCAATGTGTAGCTATGGCCGTACATACTGGGAGCGATGTACCTGGCATTAGTGCAGGTAAACACCGCGCTGGACGAATGGAACACACAACATTGAACCCGTCAAGGCCCGTCGGCTCCAACTGCGTCCAGTGAGAGTCCAGTCCGCTCCGTGGATCCCAAGCAAATGCCGGCAGCAGGCGCCGCCGCCAGGTACACCCGCTCGTTGGCGCGTGTTGTCGTGAGGGGGAAGCGTGGGAAGAGCAGCCACGGGGGGTCTGGAACCTTGGATTGGGGACATGGACCCGGAACTGGACCTGCAACGGCGAACTCTTGTTGGACGCCGCTGAGGAACAACTCACGCATATGGGTACAGCACCAGCAGTGACACACTCACACACTGACGCTCACCACTCACACAACCTCTCTGGCTCTCAAAGCTACACAAACTCGACCTAACGTGAGGTAGGGCATCCACCACAACGTCAGTGGGTTTCGATGGTGATCCCGTTCCGTTGCCGTACCGCAGTGACACACACGAACGAGAAAAAAAGAACTCGTCGACGATTCAGGTTTCTCAAAAAAGTCCTTCACAAGAAGAAAATCCTCACAAAAAACAACGCCCCTTCCAAGCTTACGGTGGAGATCCGGTGGAGGCACACACGTCCCGAGGTTGCATAAAGTTAAATCTCTCACCACGGAACCCGTCAAGCACAACCGCAACCACACACCCGGCTCCCCCAAGTCGAAGTCCTACGGGAGAATCGTCGTCACTGTTCGCCCTCCATGACGTTGTCTCACAAACAGCCTTGATGGTGGGCTTGTTCTCGCCAGCTTGGACACCTCCTCACTGTCAAATTAACCATCAACATGTTGTCAGCATGCATATTCTAGCCCCCGAAATACCCCTCTCGAGCCCCGCGAGAGGACTGTCCACGACGGAATACCGAAGCCATCCGACCGAGTTACTTGCACTCACTCATGCAAGCCAGCATGAACACTGTCAAATCGTCCGATGGGGAAACCGGATGACAGCCCAGTGACGGACGCCTTGTTGAGAAGCTGGTTGCTGCTGCATTGGGTTCTGGAGATTAAGCCAATCCATCAATCAAGGCGGTCAACCATGTGAAGTCCACCTGGCATACAGCGTTGCTGTCTAGGCATTGGACAGATGGGGGGGTATCCTATCAAACCCAACTCGGTATTGCTCCTCGTTTACTTTATTATACCGCCAACATGCTGGACGAACATCGCGGCAGCGCCTCGCAGCTCATTTACTGAGCTTCGTACTCGCTGCGGTGTGCTCCGTTTTCATGCCAGCTCCATCTGCCTCTCCCGACCGGCCCCCATGATCCGATCCAAGGTGCCGCTGCCGCTCAACGGCCCGTACGCGGCCGGGGTTCGCTGGCACTGGCAACTGGGCTGGCGAAAGGGGGCGAGGCTTCTGGATCTGCTCCCAGCTGGTTCCAGGGCAGAGGCGACGGGTACGGAGGGCCGGTCCCACCTGGGTGTGGGCACACAATCACCACTTTTCTGCTCGCCCTTTGCTGGTTCTTCCAATTCCCCCTTCTTTCCAAGCTGGCAGGTAATTCAGCGATACGTCGGATTCTCCACTAGGCAGTGCAGGAGAAGGAGGAAGAGGAAGCAGAGATCAGTGGCGATCCCCGAACGCGTCATAGGCCTCGTCAGGGCAAGGAAGCGGAGCTACTGCCGGTCTCAGGGAACGGTGGTTTTGCCATGTTTCTCCCTCGACGGAGGCCCTTGACTCCTTAAAACCGTCTGGTCTTTTTAGGCTTGTGAACGAACGCCTGGGGGGGACTTTAGGGGGCACGGGGGGTTGTATCGCACAAGCGCTGGACGAGCTTATTGCTGTTTACCGCAAGAAACAAAAAGTTCAGACGGTCCTGACGAAAAAGAGGAATCTGGTAAACATCCAGGCTGTGTGAGAAACAGAAAACACACACAAGAATTCGAAAGGCAGCATCTGGGCTATGGCGTACCGGTAGCTGCATGTGGGATGCACCCGGATTGCGGATGATGGCAGGGCCTGGATGATTATTGAATTGATTGATTGATTTGTTTGCCTCTAAGAATAGCGTTTCTGTTTTTATTGTGCTTTGCCATCTCGCCCATCCGCCCGTAGTGCATGTGCCAGGGAACGCCATGCTCAGCGCAGCATCGGCTGCCTACCACTGGTCATCAATGGCACGCGGCCGGGCTTGTTGCCCCGGCAGGGCAGGAGGAACGCAGGCGCACTAAGGCAGGAAATGCCCGTTCGTGAAGATCACTCTTCGCTGGATTGAGCGATCACCCGCTGGATCGAGAGGCTCAGCAGCGTTGCTTGGATGCTTGGATGGGGCGGATGCTTCTTTTGTTTCTTGCTGGTTTAATTTGGTGTGATTTGCGGGATCCAGAAACTATTGCTGGCCGGACGGGGGCCTAGGAGGCGTTCTAGAATTGCTGATCTTGGCATTGGATGACTGGCGCAGAGCGCACTGTGCAGGCGCCGCTGCGGCGTCAATTTGCGCCATTGGGGGAGACGAGATGATTAGCGTGCGCGCTGAAGGTGTGAATTAAATTGTCGAGACAATTATCAGAATTGTAAGAGAAGCATGAAGAGATTATAATCAGTGAATTTGGCACTTTGAACATCAGCCAGATGTGTCTGGCTAACCAGCCCTGATGGTCTAGCGGTATGATTCTCCCTTAGGGTTGACATTTGTCAGCGCACATGGGAGAGGTCCCAGGTTCGATCCCTGGTTAGGGCCCATCTCTTTTGTTTAACCAACGTCAATTACCTTTTTATCAACTTCCAACATCGAGCGCTTGATTGATATAGTTTCCAACTTGGTTGCGGGCAAGTCTAGATTTCCCCGCGATGTTTTTTTTCGTAAAGAGTGATGAGTGTAAGTAAGTAGATATCTTATGAGAGACCCGATCACCTCCTGTAGTACCCCGATTCCCTTGACGGTCAGTAGTCACGGCATTTTGGAATAATCGCGTGAGCACACATCGGTTCTCGCGATGAGGATTGGGACAAAATGCCATCCGCGTTTCATGGTTCCCTTTATTTCAGAGCAGCCCAAGTAAATCTTCCTCCCTTCTGCGCGACAGGAACATGATGTTCAAGACCACCGTTGCAAGAATAGCTCTCGGATCCAGCATCACCTCCTACACAGCCACAGAAGGAATTGTCCTCGTCAAGCTCAAAGACATAACCTACACTGCGCCTCACCAGCATCAGAGTAGATGATCCCTTCAGAAACTCTCCTGTATCAAAAACAGACAAGCTGATTCGGACTTTCTCGGCTGACGGCAATTATGGGTCTGCATTCCGATTGCCGCCCATCCGTGTCTTAGACACGGGCAGTTGAAGACATTCTCATTTAGCTAGGGGGACGGCTTGGGTCTTGGCGAGAGGGGCAGCGCCGTTGACGTCTTCTCTGCGTGTGTGTCCTGGCTGTTTGAATGTCAACGCCGTCGACGTCTTCAGAATTCATGCTATGATGTTTAGATATCTTTCTTCTTCATCACAGAGACCAGCGCTGGCATTTAGGTTTCTGGGTGAACTGACTATACGGAGCAGATGGCTTTGAACGCTACCTCAAATTCATTACAGGCGATGCAAGATCATTCGTGTGATTCTCAAGTAATATTAACCTTATGAAGGCTTTCGAATGTTTCCCGGTAGAACAGCGCTTCAAAGAAACCTCGTTAAGCTAATCGTAAACTTACGGAGAGGCGCCTTCGAGTGAAGGAGTTGCAGAGCATGATTCAGCTATGTGATGGATTGCTCTGGAAGATCAGCGGTCCAAGAGCTTCTGGACTGTACTGTGACATTTTGGGCCACCTTATTGCGATAACTGGGATTGTGTACTAACAATTAGCTAGCCGTCAAATTGTCATCCAATCTTTGCTAACGATCCATGAGAATTATCTAGCAAGATTTAATACCGCAAGCCATGCATTCTCGCAAGGTTTTAGTTGCAATTGGCGACGTTCTGAGAAGTTATATTTCAAAGTTGTGAGGCTAGCCATACAAGGGGCCGTCACTACTGTTCCTGTCCATCAGTATGGGTGCAACGCGATGTCAAATCACAGACATCTTCACCTCGTACATGATGAGTGCAGCGCCCTGCGACAGTCAGAGCTACGGCTCGCCTTCACTTGAGCATATGTCAGGAAGCAAAGCTATTGTAATCCCGTAAGTGCGCCTTTTCAGGCTATTCCTGCGAAGAATCTTAACATTTCGCCAAGCATCGAAGCATACTCCAATCCAAAGACAGCCTTTTTCGCGCCGGCCAAGAGCCTCAACTGACATCATTGGTGCGAACTTACGTATCCCTATCAGTTCCGTGGATCGAATTCAGTAATCGTCGCCTCTTTCTTGAGGTAGGCTTCCATCTTGGCCCCGAGCCACCGAGGTATTGCCTTTTCCGTGATGTTGCTCGGTCTCGGTAACCTTCCCACTGGCAGCGCCGAAGAAGGTTTTGACGCGTCGCGACTCGTAACCATAGGGTTTCCGCTAAGCTTCACCTGCGTATAAACTCAATGCCTTCTAGTGGTGAATACGGCAATGCCGCGGGGAGCAGTTCGGTGGTTACTTCCAGATTTAAAGCATCAGAAACCCGCCTCCGCATCTCTCTGTCGCAACACGCTTTAATTTCATAGCATTGTAACTGATTCTCAAGACAAATAGCCAACGTGCGGCTTTTGGACAACGCTTTCATCTTGAGCAACCTATCAATCGTGAATCAGACTTTTACACGAGTGATGACGAGCATGAAGTACTCGACAGCATTAATCGCTGTCTCGACTATTGCAGTGGTGAGTGGCTTGCAGCGCAACTTTACACTGCCGATTCCACCGGCTAACAGTCATATTTTTGAGGCCTCATACTTCCTCGTGATATGCATCTACCGGCTCGTCTTCCATCCACTGGCCAAGTTTCCAGGACCAAAGCTGGCCGCCATTTCAGATGTAGGACCAAGTTTACACTGGAACCCAGATCCTCGCTCACATCATTTATAGCTGTGGTATGCTTTGGCATGGACGTCTGGCCGACATCCATTCATTATGGAGAAAACTCACCTCAAATATGGTCAGTCACTGCTACAGATCGTGGACCGTAGCTTGTGCTGAAGCGGTCTTGTTATGAATCATAGGCGAAGTGGTTCGAATAGCACCAAACGAGTTGTCATTCGCCACGGTTCCAGCCTACCGTGACATTTACGGTCACACCATGAAGGGGAAACGGCCATTCTACAAAACATCGTGGTATCAGACCACAGGCGATCAACCTGACATTGTCACAGTTCTAGATCCTCAGGAGCATACGAGACAGAGGCGATATCTAGCACACGCTTTCAGCGCAAAAGCCTTGCATGATCAAGAAGTTGTCATCCACCGATACGTCGATCTCTTCCTCGCACAACTGGGGCGGATTGGCTGTGCAGGGGGACCGGGCATTAACATGGAAGAAGCGTTTACTTGGTTGACCTTTGATATCATTGGTATGGTCCCTTTTTCTCACTGCCATTGACCTCAGATAGGCCGGTCTTGCGGCTGAAATCCCCCTACTGACATGGTGTATCATTCTAGGCGACCTGACATTCGGCGAGTCCTTCGACGCAGTAGGCCAAGGAAAGACCAACGTCTGGGTCTCCATCATCATTGATGGCGGTTACTTCAACATGCTCAGCAGTCTCCGCAGGCGGCTTCCCCTCATGAACCTAATTCTTCCATTCATGCTCCCAAAGGACTCCGCCGCCAAGTACGCAATGCACAACAGATTAACCGGCGAGAAGCTCGATAAGCGGCTTGAGATGGGTGACTCGGCCCATCGCGACGACTTCTTTTCCCACATCCTCCGCAAAGGCGGCAACGAAGTATCCAGGGCAGAGCTCGTGAACCAATCCAGCACGCTGATCGTGGGTGGCTCCGAGACAACAGCAACATGCTTGCTTGCTCTGGCTTACTACCTGCTCAAGGACAGACCACGTCTTGACAAATTGAACAAAGAGGTGCGAGCTGCGTTTGGATCTGTTGGGGAAATCACCGGCGAGTCTGCGTCCAGGCTGCCGTATCTCAACGCCGTCATCGAAGAGAGCCTGCGGATCTTCTCGCCTGCTTCCTTCGGATTGCCACGCACGTGTCCTGGAGCCGTTATCGACGGACACATGATCCCGGAGGGAGTTACGGTGAGTGTCGATCAGTGGGCTACATCGCACAGCCCGCTATACTGGAAGGATCCGTACTCGTTCATGCCGGAACGCTGGCTTGATGATTCCTTTGGAGACAACAAGGAGGCTAGTCAACCGTTTTCAAAGGGACCAAGAGCATGTTTGGGGTCCAATTTGGCGTATCTGGAGATGAAGATTATTGTGGCCAAAATGGTCTTCTTGTACGACTGGGAGCTGATTAGCAAAGAGGTGGACTTGATGGGTCAAGCACGCTTGTTCCTTATGTGGAAGAAGCCTGCTTTGATGGTTCGTTTCCATCGACGAGAGGATCTTCCCAAGACAGACTGATGAGACTGAATTAAAAGAACTGTTGTTCTTGGGGTGGGTTGCCCACAACAAGCGCAATATCGAGCTTGAATCTCAATATTAAACAGCGGCAAGAGAATGTTTCCACAACAATTCCAGGTGCCAGAAGTTCAGTATTGCTGTGATTAATCCTGGTGGATCTATTGCATAGGTACATCGCGTGCAGATCTGATCTGTTGCGCAGGCCAGCGTATCAGCTCCAGATACTCCGGCGGCAGATGCGCCTCTATGACACCTAGAATAGCCTCCGGTACCGATTCGCTTCTCAGCCAGTGCCTCTGATTCACGCGACTTATCAGGACACACCAGAAAGCCATCATGACCAGAGTCTCAGGGCGCTTGCGTTCAGTCATATCTTTCAAGAACTTTTCGGATGCCGCGCCTCCAAACATCATTGCCGAGACCTTACATGAGGCATCGCCTGCTTTCCCAGCTATTTTGAAGCATTTTCTCAACAGCTGGAAGTCCTCCTCGTACAGAGGTCTAGGTTCTGTTCCATACGACAGAACTGACAGTTTTGTCTCCATTGACTGAAGTTCTGGCTCCCATTCGGGTCCCTCTGGAGATGGAGGGCCGACGGACCATGTATCCAAAGACGACTGGAGAGCTGTCCACGATGTACTAGCTTCTAAAGGACCTCTCAGCTGGCGAACGAGCGTTGCGCAGCCACGAACAGGGAAGATCCATTCGGGAGGTCCGGGAGGGTCGCTGTTGAATAAGAGTGAAGAGGGGTCTTCGAATGAGGCGAAGTAGTAGTTGGACATGAGCGCCGAGCAAGCGAAGAGGGCGTGCACTTGGTGTGTTGCCACTTCCGGGGACAACGCATCGCGGAACTGGCTAAAGGCTTTGGCTTGGTGGCCCCACGCCACGCGCTGGTAATTGATCGAGCTGCTGGGGTTGAGATGATGAAGATGGATGGCGGATACAGCTAGGACTTCGTGCAGGAGGTAAGGAAACTTGGGTGCCAGGTTGGGAAGGTCCGATTTCCATGACATGAGCAACGCCTCGTTTTTGAGAGCAAGGCATGGTAGCGTCGTCGTCAGGAAGTGGTTGAAAAGAGCAAAGTCAGAAGCTTCAAAGGTGTCGATGGAGGTTGAAGGGCTGCTGCTGTCGATGGGTTTTGAGGCTAGGGAGTGAAGTGGAGGATTGATTGAAGTGGTAGACTCTGTTAACAGGCTGCAGGCCAACGAGAACTTGCTGCAGCGAGCACATGGAACCTG